TTCACAGGTGTTCACTTTTCATTAAGGTTAACAAGTAATTAATATTGGAATTTAAATTTTCATTATTAATATCTCATGAAGTCATGGTTGTACTTTTATGTCCCCTATCAGTTTTTAATCATTACTGTGGACAGACATCATGAACTTTTGCTGCGTATCATGGCTAAGATACGAGGGTAGCTTCTGGTAAGAAAAGTGACAAGTCATGAGATATAAATTAGAAAAACATAAATACAACACACTTCAGTGTCTCACTGCATCATGAAATAAATCAGGAATCTGGGTTTGAGTGAAAATAGTATGAATAAATATATTTATTAAGCATTTATAACATGCGAGTTAAAAATGGTTCACTATTTGGCAGGTATTGCATTAAAATCACAGTTTTTTTATTTATGCATTAATAACTGCTTATCAATGATTTATAATGCATTTGTAAATGACGTATTAGTCATTTATAAACACCTTTATAAACCCTATATAAAGGGAACCTTTATGTAAAGTGTAAGCCAATTCACTGTTTATAATGTAAACTAATCCTTCCCTGAACCACAGACCTCGGCATATATTGTTTCTTGTCCGGAGATCTTCTCTGTGGTGCTTTTGGTTTGGGGAGTGGAGAAGTCAATCTCTCCATAGTGGATCATGTCATTCTCATCCTTTGGCATCTCTAGCTCGTCACCCATCACAAAAGCACTATTAGCATAAATAGAGTTGACCTGCACATGTTTTTCCTGACCCTGAAAGAGAAAAATAATACATGGCGTTTCTGTGGATCCATTGTCTTTGGTTTTTGGTTTCTGTACATAATAAACCATTACAGTAAAATGCATGGTAGAGTATTGTTAGCTGTTATTATAGCACTTCCTATTTGAAACAGCAAAAACGTGATCTGCTAGAAGAGTCTAGAACATACCTGATCTGAGACGTCAGTTTCCCTAATAATGGATGCCTTTACTCTTTGCACTCTGTAATAAAAGGAAATGCAGAAATCCATATAATACAAAACGGATCACCATATTGTAAACACCATGTTTTATGTATGTTTCAAAGTTAAATGAAATTTATTCTGAAGGCTGTTTGCTCTTTTCCATGCAATTACAATGATTTGGACAATGGAGTTTCAAAAAAGGATCAAAAGCACCATCTAACTGTGCTTACCTTAATAAAATCGTTACCAGAAGAAATATAAACAGAAATGCTGAAATTCCTCCGACACAGCCAATGATTAAAGACAGTGATTCTAAGGAAGCAGAACCAGATTGAAAACATTAAGTACAATTACTTGGTTCAGTAGGCTGTGCACATAATGTAAAAATATAGTTCAGTCATAAAACTGGAGCTACCCATGATGATCATTACTTTTAGTGTCTGTACATATAATGGCACATGTCTGTATTAATCTTACCTGCCACAATCAGCTGGAACTCTTCTGACATCTGATTACCATGTATGTTCTTTGCTGTGCAAAAGTACCAGCCCCCACTCCTCCTATTTACATTAAAGGTTAGTTGTTCTCCAAAATCCAGCTCTTTCTCCTGTCCACGTTTGTACCAAGTGTAGTTCATTTCATTTGGACTGGCTTTGCTTTTGCAGGTCAAAGTCACATTAGTGCCAACAGAGATTGAATCAGATGGATCGATGATGATGTGAGTTTCTTTTGGAGAAACTTTAAAGCAAAATAGAAACATCTGTAGGTAAACTGGACATCATATTACACATCTGAACATAAAGCTTATGAAAGAGCAAAATGACTCCAAATCTCTTACACAGGACTCTTAGCATCACGGTGGTCTCTGCAGTTGAGTCATTAGGCGTATTTCTTGGATATGTAGCAGTGCAGGAAATGTTCTTCCTGTGATCTTTGTATGAAGCTTTGAAGGTCATGTATGAAAACACTGACTGGGTTTTATCAGGTTTCTCCTGTAACTGTGTTGTAATGCGGGCAGATTCAGGGATGTTAGACCAGGATATTGTAGGAGGTTGTTTGGGACAGGGGGCTTCAGCAGAGCAGCTCAGATTTACTGTAGTTTCCTCCATCACTTCTCGCAGATCAGTGGGTGTAAGGATAAGAAGTTCCGGTACATCTACAGGGCAAAGAGTACACTGTATAAAACTCTATTAAATTAAATCTAATTGTTCTGCATGTTACATAATCACACCAGTAGGTGACAAAAAGTGGACAAAACAAAACAACAACAACAAAAAATTCCTTGGAGACATGTAATGGTTGATTCTTCAGTGGCTCCATTTGAAATTATTTTTTCTGTTGGAGGGAAAATAGGCAAAGTAACAGGTAAATACTGTCATTAAGAAGTTACTCAATATTAACTTCTACATTATTAAACTGTTGTATGAAAGCATTTTAACAATCACTTTATTGTATTATTTTAATTTAGCACAGTATGGTGCATTATTTTGGAGCTACAGTGTCACTACAGGTACATTTCACAAACTAATCTTCATTGTAATTGCAGCGGACTGTGGGCCAACTTTGCACATCTTTCGTAAAAAATATACTTCCTGTCAATAATTTCAGTAAATTACTAAAATATTACTAAAAGTTTCTCCTTTGCTATTTTATTGTATTGTGTTGTATTTATTTATTATTATTCTTTTTTTTATGCTACAGAGGTGGCCTGTATCATGAAGCCGGTTTAGCTGGCTAGCCAGGTAAGTCTCAGTTTAGTTTAGTTAACTCTGGGTTTTAGGTACCATGAACCTAGCTTTAATCTGTGTTCATCACCATAGTAACTTACGCTCAACGGCTAACCTGCTCTGGGGCAGGTTATGTTCTGGTTTAGAGATCTCAAACCAAAATTTGACCAATCAGCTTCGAGCAAAGTGACACACCTTTGACACAATAAAGTCACTTCCCCAGTTTCTCTTGCTCCAAATTAAAAGGACACTACATAGTAAAACATTTTTAAAGGAAAAATCATCTGGCTTTTCTTTGATGATTATTTATGATAATTTTATATGGTTTATATAATTATTATACCCTTAATCCACTACACGAGCCAGTTTAGTTTAATAATAATTAAGCTTTTATTTTAAATGAATCTAAATATATAAAGATATGCAATATAAATAAGTTTTAGAATCAATAGCTTTAAACATGACTACATATGAGCTTAGATGTTTAAGTATTTTTCTACCTATAAATATTATCAACTATATAAATTAACTTCACAACTTTTACTTGCACTGATATGGCAAGAAGTTTTCTTTAAATTGTCCTCTTTTATGGACAGATTGTTTCATCTTGCTCTGTAAATGTGTTTAAATGCTTCATATTTTTCAATCTTTTAATCTATGGTAGTGATTCGCACTGACTCAGAGAAAGTTGATGTTCAGTGTCATGGTACCAATAAAGCCGGATTGGACTGGTTGGGTTTTGTCAACTCAAAACTAATCCTGTAACCCTGAGTTTGTTCAGCCACCATTTTGGTACAAGCACCAGGTTTTTTGTCATGGGGATTTCTTGTTTAAGTGAAAAATCCCAAAGACAATCCTTTTAGTGTCAAAACTAGTGCCTGATTCATCTTAAAACATAAGCCCCCGGTTTCACAGACAAGGCTTAAGCTGGTCCCAGCCTAAAATGCATGTTTGAGCTGTCTCAACTGAAAATATCTTGCTCTTGAGATTTCTTAAAATTGGACAGCGTCATTGTTCTGTGTCAAGATGTACACCTGTAATGTTTTCTTCTAAGGCATTTTTGTTAAAAGTTGCTTAAATATCTTAATTTAACTGAGGTCTAGTCCTGTTTTAAGCTAAGCCCGTTTGTGAAACCGGGCCAAGGCATTTTCCAGTCTAAAGTATGAGAATATATTTCATTGAGAGATGTGATAAAGGTTACCAGCTATCCAATGAAATAGTCAATGAATCCAAGCTTATGAATCATAATCACTGAATAATTTTGATATCATAAAAAAAGCAATATTTACAGTGGAGACCCCACTTACCTGAGACAGAAATGTAGATGGGATGGTTATATGTATACTTCCAGTTCACTGGCTTCATTTCCACCCTGAAGTAGTAATTGTCTGTATGATTGTTCATGACATCATAGAAAACAGTGGTACATTCACGCTGACGAAGATTTCCAAGTATTTCTATATAATTAAATCCTTTTATGATGTTTGAAGTTCCATTGAAAACCACCAAACTCTCTGGATTGAGAAAAGCATGGTGGTTCTTTAGCCAAAAGCCAAATATATTTTCTGTGTCCTTCAGTATGTTCTCTGGTGCATCAAATGTACAAGGTATCTGCACACAAGAGCCACTCAGTGCATTTATTCTGCCAGGCAATTTTGCATCAAAACTAGGATCTGAAAACATAAAAATAAACAAACAATGACCGTTTAGAATCTTTTGTTTACCTGTTTAGTGTAATACTAAAGCTGTATGTCATCTTTTTAATTAGATAGCACTGACTCACTTGGTTGCATATTAACTTGCACTGGTAAGAACAGAAAAACCATGAAAGAAAAGACAGGCATCCCAGGTGCTGTAGTTACAAACACAAACATGAAAACATTAGTTTTCAATCTACAAAGGTACTTTGCATGGGTGCCATATTTTTATTTTTTTTGACACTTAAGTTATATTATCCGAATTATATAATTTTAATAGATTTCTGCATTAGATAAAAGTTTGAAATGTGCTCAGAGACAATAAAATGATAGAAAAGCCTCACCTACAGCAGTACAGTCCATCATTCATTCAGAGTAAAACAGAAGTCCAGCACGATTTCCGCACAGAACTGGATTTCTGTGAACCTAACTGCTTGTTTAGACAGTCATGATGCAGAGGTTAACTATTTCCAGGACTTCCAACATGTGCTTTCAGCAGGTGAAGCATTTAACATTACCACACTTAAATCAACCAGTCACCAATGTCTGTAGAACATGCATCTAAACTATCAAATTACCCATTTAAATGTATTTAAATCATCTTTGTACTTCAACACTATAATATCATGTAACATTGTTTCTAGCTTAGTCTGTTGTACTTCCTCTTGCAAACCTGTTTACAAGCCTAACAGCAGGGAACAGATAAGCTTTAGTGTTATGTTAATGATTATTGTTCTGAAATAATGGGGCCAACACTTTTTCACACCACTGTATATACCAATATAGTTCTATAACAGTTAGGTTATTACTTCCTCCTACCTTACGCTTAGAGGAGATTGATCCGGTTACAGTAAAGAATGTGTCCAATCTGCCCTGGGTGCTCCCCTGTCTACTCTTCATGATCTTCTTACAGCTGTTACGGATACGATCCTCACTGACAACACACAAATTCAACACATCTGAAAAACATATTCTGCTGCGGTGAGAACCACAAATACAAGATAACATCCCTTCTATTTGTTCCATCTCACACCTCAAAGCACAACAGGTTTCTCTACCCGCTTTACCCAAACATGGTGCTGGTTTTTGTCTTATATTTATAACCTGCCCGCAAATAAACATGCTGCACAACCTTTGTGTACAAGCCAATTCATATCCATTTTAATATGGCATCCATCACAAGCTGCTTTTAATGCAACAAATTGTAGTTATTTAAATACATAAAGAATAAATTAATATCAATTTATTCACACACAAGGTATTTGTCTGTCCCTGTTTTTATATTATATACACACACGTTACATAAATAAATAGGGATGTAACGATTCACTCAACTCACGATTCGATTCACAATTTTGATTTCACGATTCGATTCACGATTTTTTTAACAAAATGAGATTTAAGACAAATTATAAATTAAATGTGTCCTTTTATTATTGCTTGGACAAAATGCTGCACATTTCTTTGTGAAATTGAAATATAACACTTGCATATTATTGCTCTTTTGTTGGTTTTGATTGCTGCATATTATTTTGGTTTTGATTGCTTCTATTGTCCTCATTTGTAAGTCGCTTTAGATAAAAGCGTCTGCTGCGTCTGCTAA